GCTGTGGAATTCCAAATAACCGACGATACCATTGCATTAGTATCGATCTGAAATTGGCTTGTCGTTTCTCACATTTCGGACGTCTGAATTGGGGATTTGATGATTTAATTGTAGAACAGCACCTTGAAGGTCTCCAGGAGCTGTTGTACAGGTCCCATCTCCCATGTGAAGGCTGACGGTATATCTTATGTTACACAACAGCACCAACATTAAAGCAGAATTTAAAATGGGGTATTTAGAAATCATGTATTATTCAAAGGTTCGAATATTTCATTCAGGATTTCACCAAGTAGTGTATGCATCTTCATCTGTCACTATGGCGACGGGTGAAACTGAAATGTATACGTTGTGTTTTGTGGTTGACATTCACAAAAGCACGGTGTGAACATAAATCCCGAGTCTGCCACACCAGAGTTGAGGCTTGAGTGAGTGAGTGAGTTTTTAGTTTTACGCCGCACTCACCAGTATTCCAGCTATATGACAGCAGTCTGTAAATACTCGAGCCTGGACCAGACAATCAAGTGATCAACATCATGAGCATCGATCTACGCTATTGGGACATGATGACATGTCAACCAAGTCAGCGAGCCTGACCACCCGATCTCGTCTGTCGCCTCTTACGACAAGCATGGGCAAGTGAAGATCAATTCCCATCAGGATCTTCAAGGGTCAGTTCTGGCTTGTGGAATACTGAGACACCGAAGAGAGTACAAGGTCTGTCGAGCGAATGATTGAGTGAGTGAGTGAGTTGGGTCTAACGACGCTTTGAACAGCCATTCCGTTATTTTACGGTCTGTCAGATTAATAAGGGATGTAAGACCAAAGTGACACTTCTACCACTTACCTGAAACCCACAATATGGCGCTTTCATAAAATAAGGACAGAACCAGGATTCGAAGCAACAATCACAGTTTCCTGGCGAGACCAAGATGGACAACTCTGCACAGCGAACTGCGCTTTACACACGTGTGCCATATGACCATATATGTGAAAAGAGTCACCTTCAGAAAAAATATGTGATGATTAATGTCATGAATCAATCAGGTTGTCAAGACGAAGTATGATGACCGTACCCCAGTGTAGTTGATCATATTCAGCATATCTCGGTTATATGATGACGGCCTGTAAATGGGCAGTGATTGATAAGATAAGAAGGGCCTCACACTATTACTGTACAATAAGTCTCACCACTCAATCCATTTAGTCGCCTACAAGTATAAATTGCCCGGTCAATACTGTGAAACTACCAACGCTGACACATAATAGCTTTCTAGTTGGTCTTTCCTTGGTAGCCATTCACACCAATCCATCTTGGGGCTACTAAACTATAATCACCTTTGATAATTACAATATAAACACTGACTCTGTTCAGGAATATACGTGTGACACAGGAATAATAAGTCTGTAAAATTATTTATTCTGCATTGTTTTCAGATAGAGGGATTAATTTCGCGTTTACGATTTGTCACACACATATATGTTTAAGTGTGACTGCGTGCGCGAGCGTGCATGAGAGCGTACACACGTGCGTGCGTGTAACTGTTAGTACTTGCTCGGACAAATGCCCGTCTCTCAGGTCTGATGCCGCGGCATGGACACCCTACTAGGGCTTAGTACTCTATAGTAGACCAGTTTATGATTACTACACTGTGTGCTCTGTGACAGCACGGTAACAACAAATACCACCATTTCACGTCTTGAATGATGCAACGAGGGGATCGAACCATCGACCTTCCTGATCAGGTCAGCCGCTCTGTGTATTTGCCAACGGAGGAGGCCTTTTTTACTTCAGATCCCCGTGGGTGAGAGGGCAACGTATGCTTCAAGCATGGGTCTATTGCCCCATAGGTATGGCTCATACTCGGTGACCTATATTGGGAGTCATGGTGCACCTGTGCTGTGGATCGCTTCCGTATCTGGTTTGTCTTGCCAAGGCAGACCGTTTTGTTACATCTTGATTTTTTCTTAAATCACCCTACACAACATTCACTTCACTCGCTGATATTACACGTAAACAATATCTGATGTCGTAACGAGGAGGTTATTCGGGGATAGTATGATGCATCAAGTGAGAAGTATTCTCAACTTTCTGCAGGTATAACTGCGGTTGGTCAACAGCAGTAAGAAGCAGCAGCAATAAATTATCTATATTTCAGAATTAGATAAAAAAGTTCACTTCATTGACAATGGTCGATGGTCAGTTAACGATGTTCTGTCGAGTCCACGATGGTCCCTGTAGACAGTGCTCAATGTTGCGATATTGTATCACACGTGAGTGAGTGATATTGTACAATGTTTCAGCCGTTTTGTTTACCAAGAAACGATTGCTGGTAAAAATAGGTGAAGGCATATTTCTCATCAGGATTTGGAATCCCCACACAATTTGGAAAGGTAGCTCCAGATGGTCAGCCACGGTGTTATCCAGTGAAGAAACACCTCCACATAACCCCATTCCTACATAACCCCATTCGCAGATAACCCCACTCCACCATAACCCCAGCCCCACCGACACAACGGGATCTGGAGCCTCGAGAGTATGGTTGAGTTACTGATTAATGAGAGCGCCCGGCCATTTGTATCAGCTGGAATCCCATGTGTTATTTCCAGATAACCATTATTTCTGTGTCTGCTAAGCAGGTGCCATGCAAGCAAGGAGACGAATTATACAAGCCAAACAGTTTTAACTTTACTTAATTGTTTCTAAATACGACAGGACTCCATTCAACTGACAGTCGCCACACATCTTTTCCCCAAGCGTGCTGAAGTGCGCAAGGTTCGTGAAAAAACACGTTACCAAATTGTAATGTGGGCATTTTCAACCCATGGCACGTATTGGCGAGCTATCAACTTAAAAGTGAACTATCTAAAAGGACTGCCTCTGACTGGACTCATTGGCGACGGGAAAACCCAACGTTTCTTCGAAAAAGGTGAGCCAGTCATTGGAAGAAATTCCAAAGAGATTCAGATCTAGATGTTTACCACCGGTAAAATCCAATAACTGACAAATGGAACCGCTATCACAGGATTCTGAAACGTCTTCGGCTAAAAAAACAGTGCCACGATTTACGGCGCCTTAAGCGATTTGGGTCACACGTGCCCCTCCATAACATTACAAAAATACAAAGACCTTGAAAAACACTACGTCCTACAGAATACTCACAGAGGGCCAGGAACCTGAGTTGCACTGTAAACTACAGTTAGGAATGATGACCATCATGCGTGCACGTGGTAATACACATTGTGACGCTGGATACAGTAAACTGCTGTTGTAACGAACCTGAAGGGGCCCGTAATTTCAGTTCGTTATAACCGTAGTCCCTCATATGCATCTGACTAAAATATGAGGTGAGGTGAAATTGGGTTTAACGTCGTACTTGAGAATATTTCGTTCATATGACGACGTGCATGCGTGTGTATGTGCGGCTGCTTCTACTAGCCCAGACTTAAGCTGGTTTAATAGTGCTAGCCCACTGGGATACCATGCCGCAGTGCAGCATGGATACCCCACTCAGACACATTATACTGACTCCGAGCCGACCAGTCCTTGTTGTACCCATTAATGCCGAGCGCCAGGCAGAGACCAACAAGTACCACATTTTAACGTCTTTAGGTATGACGCGGTCGGGAATCGAACCCGCGACCTTCCGTTCTCCGGGCGGACGCTCTAACCACTACACCACGGAGGCGGTCACTAAAATATGAAGTGACCGGGACAAAACAAACAGTTCGGTATATATGACAGTTCGTTATGACGTGTTGGTTACAGATGCAGTTTCCTGTATATTATAGCATTATATTGGTGGGTGGCATTACATGTATCTGCGTGTCAGTCTTATAGATATGAAGACATTCGGGGCGTCATGTTCAAATAAATCATCTACTCAAAAGAAGTTACGGAACACTCGTTTCTTTCTTATTGCTAATGTAATAACGGCAAATCCATCATAACAGATTGAGTAGTATATATTCCCATATATAATTGTCTGTATAATAGCGAACACGGGCAAACATTATCACCGGAAGAATGTATTTGAAGGCGTCCCTGTGCGAATATGCCATCACTGCCATGTCCACTGTGGGAAATAGAGGACGTTACATCACTGAGTGTGCCATGTCATTGTCTCAGTATGGTGTGGTTTGTACCCGATCACGTAACACGGTTCAAGATTGGATTGGGATGAGTGAGTGAGTGAGTGAGTTGGATTTTACGCCGCTTTTAGCAATATTCCAGCAATATCACGACGGGGGACACCAGAAAGGGGCTTCATACATACTACCAATGTGGGAGATTCGAACACGGCCTTCGGTGCGACGAGCGAACGTTTTAACCACTTGGTTAAGAAACCTTGGGATAAGTGGGTCGACGTTTAGCGAATCTTATTTACGTTTCTTTGAAAAACTGTACATTGCAGTATGCCATTAAAAGCGATTTCTTCTGTAGCTTGGTCTGTTCTGTAGCTTAGTCCAAGCTTTTTATGCAGTGGTTCGGGACAATCTTATGATATCAGGGCCACAGTCCCCAAACCGTTCCCAGCAGTACGACCTATCGTATTTCGACAGTTTATCACAGGCTTACGAAAGTCGTAATCTTACGAACGCTTTGAGGATCGCGACGTAAGGTGGGGAAAAAGTTTAGCAACAAATCCAAACACGCTTAAAAATAATTAAGGTCAAGCTCTTCAGATATGGGGTCGGTTGGGTAATCGGAATCACATCTTTTTCCTCCTTTTGTTGAGGAGGTCTAAATATAGACATGAGATCTGGATTGTACTCTTCCTGGGTTGTATTACAAAGTACTAGCATCAGCAGTATCCATGGACGATGAGCGTGGTATCTGTGCATATAAAAACAAACTCATTCCACATGCTGTCCACATCTGTGCTGGCTGAAGCGTTTTGTTGTTTGATCGTTGTGTTTGTTTGTTGGGTACAGTTATCTTATTTGTTTGTTGTTTGCCGTGCACCTAAACAGTATGGTAACAAAAACACTATTAGTCTTACTTGATTGCCTCCCACTTTTCTTGCCCAAATTGTCTCAGCACCAGCAGCTCCAAAGCGTGATTGACGAACCCGTACTGAAACACAACAAACATCATCTTAAACATGTATCACCATGGAGTGAGTGAGTGAGTTTAGTTGTACGCCGCTTCAAGCAGTATTCCAGCAATATCACGACGGGAGACACCAGAAATGGGCTTCACATGCTGAACCAATGTGGGGAGTTGAACCAGGGTCTCCGTCGTGACGAGCAAACGCTTTAACCACAAGGCTACCCCACCGCCCTGCATCGCTATGGGAGAGTGAGTTTAATGTTACGCCGCTTTTAGCAATATTTTAGCAACATCACGGCGGGGGACACCAGAGATGGGCTTCATACATGATACCCATGTGGGGAAGCGAACCCGGGTTTTCGCGTGACGAGCAAACGCCTTAACCAATAGGCTACCCCACCGCCCGCATCACTATGGATTGTGAGGTGAGGTGAGGTGAAACTGGGTTTTACGTCGTACTTGAGAATATTTCGCTCATATGACGACGTGCATGCGTGTGTATGTGTATGTGTGGCTGCTTGTACTAGCCCAGACTTAAGCTGGTTTTATAGTGCTAGCCCACTGAGATACCATGCCGCAGTGAAGCATGAATACCCCACTCAGACACATTATACTGACTCCGAGCCGACCAGTCCTTGTTGTACCCATTAATGTACCCATTAATGCCGAGCGCCAGGCAGGGACCAACAAGTACCATATTTTAACGTCTTTGGTATGACGCAGTCGGGGATCGAACCCGCGACCTTCCGCTCTCCGGGCGGACGCTCTAACCACTACACCACGGAGGCGGTCGGATGGGAAGGAGACATGCCGGCAACTGCTTACATGTTTACCGTCCGGCATTTGTTTATTCCATAACGGTATCTGGTTCGGCTATTACTGTAACTGTCTCAGTTTAACATATATCTTTCATGGATCTGTGTGCAAGGTTTGGCAGCTTACACTATATGAATGAGGCGTATTGGGAAGATTATTGTCGGCAACATGGAGAGGGCTTCTGTGTGGTATGTGGGAATCCTTGGTTTGGAACAGCATTTCAGTGTTATCATGACGTAAGGGCAAAACACAACACTGAGCGCGACGTGGGCGTCTACCGTTTTGGTAAAATCAATGGGAATGGTTTTCATTAACAATGGAAGACTAACAGGCATCCAAACCCAGTGTTATAAGGTCCTGTCATCAAGACTTCGACACAACGGTGATCAGTGAGTGAGTGAGTAAAGTATACCGCCGCTTTTAGCAATATTCCAACAGTATCACGGCAGGGGACACCAGAAATGGACGTCACACATTGTACCATTGTGGGGAATCGAACCCGGGTCTTCTAATGGCGAGGAAACACTTTACCCACAAAGCTACCCAAACGCCCCTCTCTACTGGTGAAGCTGCACAGCAGCTCTTGCCAGCTTGTCTCCCCTGCTGCAGAACGTCTATGAGATAAGTGCTGGCATGGGTTACTGAAGACCAATTCTAACCCGGATCTTCACAGGTTTGCACTTGTGTGGAAAGTATATCGTGTTTGTAGCAGGCGTGGAGATCCCTCCCCTTCCTGTACGTAATGTAGACTCGACACACGATAGGTCATCCCCGTTAATACTCGTATCATTCATGAGGTGTCAATAACGTATCATTACAAGGTGTCACTTCGCTGATATACCGGTCATGTTAGCTGTGAAATGCGAAACATATGCCGCGAAGTGTTACTATGCGTGTGGTACGAAAATCAGCAGTTGAGAGTACGGTCATGTGTAAGTAGATATTGTTTAAACAAGGTATTAGGAGTCACGCTGGACACATTGTCCTCATAATGCGTCACTCCGTGTGTGTACTAAAAATAGCAGATGTCACTGCGATGATAAAAGGTACATTTCTGGTGTCCCCCGCCGTGATATTGCTGGAATATTGCTAAAAGCGGCATAAAATTAAACTCACTCACATTATTGCACTTCTTGTGTAGGACAGCATCCATTGCTTCCAAACTGACACTAACTGACCAAAACATTCTGGAGTTGCTCTTCTTATTGACACATCACTTGACCAACTGGCCTATGCCTACTTAGTACTTGAATAAAACTGTTATCACTTGTTTGTGGGCTTTGTACAAATTCATCGTGGATTAATTACCCTGTCTTTTACAGCCCTTAAGGGCGACGGGGTAGCCTAGTGTTTAAAGCGTTCGCTCGTCAAGCCGAATACTGGGTTCGATTCCTAATATGGGTACAATGTGTGAAGCCCATTTCTGGCGTCCGCTGTGATAATGCTGAGATAGTGCTAAAAGGGACGTGAAACTAAACTCACTTACTCTACAACCCTTCGAGTTGAAGCGATTATATAAGAACAACACAGGATATGATTCAGAAGACATAAATCCCCGCAAATCAGACACGGTGGCAGCGTACATAACGTTGTTTACAAATTGGCTCCCGTTGGAATATCATGACTAAATTTACAGCGACAATAAAGTGGACGGCCTCGCGAGTATTTCTGCGCTTATATACACATGTCACCACGATCTATAGCCGTCCGGAGGAGCTCACAGCCATGTCTGGGCATGTTGAACAGAGGATGACATTTAAAGTTGTTTAAGATCCTCTGAAGATAAAACGACTTGAAACGTCACCGCTACCGCAATCAATGACATTCATTGACACTCACACCTCTGTCATATTTCTCATATTTCACATGATTCATTCTGCTAGTTCTCATCAACCAGCCATTTTATACTAGCCAACAGGTATGTATATATTTATGCATATTAATGAGGTCAAAAGGTCGCATTCCTCATGCCGTGCTAGCCATATACGTGTACGCAGTCATAAAAGCCAGATCCATATCATTGTAGAAGAAGAATGCGAGTACTGATGCATACCTAAGCGACAATACAGTATATGGGAAAGTCATTGGACGATTGGAGCTTAACATTTCAAAATGACCGGTCGTAGGGATGACGCGTGGCTTAATAGCGTCTAGGGTATTCTATGCAGCCGTTTAATACTACAATGACAATTCCTGTCGTGGTCATTTCCATTATCGACGAGACAGTTATTTATAATTCGCTGGGTTAAGGTATCCGATTTCATTGGATATTATTCACCTGACAAACGTCACTGTGGTTTCCTTGTCTTCTTTCGAAGCAATGGTGGGCGGGTTGTGAACGAAAATGGACGTGTATGAACATTGTTGGAATCGCTAATATACCCTTCCTGGGTCGTTATTGTTTTTTTCTGCCATGTAGTGTCTGTACCGATTCACTGTCGGGGCAACGCACGTAGCATGGATACTACATGCATGGCCGAAATTCGACACTTTCGATGCCGGTGAACCTTTCGCAATCAGGAAAAGATCAGACCAAAATATATTTAGTTAGCGTACGTCAATTAATCTCGCTGTCGTGTGGCTGCAGGACTGCGGATTCGGAGTTGAGCGGAAGCAGCTAACTCATTCATTTATCCCGAAATGACTGGAAAATATGTCTACATACCACCGGAAGAGTTAGTGAGCGAGATAACCTTTACGCCGCTTGTACCAATATCACGGCGGGGGACACCAGGAATGGGCTTCACACATTGTGTCCAGGTTGGGAATCGAACCCGTTCCTTCGGCGTGACGAGCGAACGCTTTTACCACAAAGCTACCCCACCGTGTTGTATTCATACTGATGTTGCATGTTGCCCTTGCAGTGGAAAAACACCTTTGTGTCAAACTTACGACTGTTTGGGACAATCACTTATCATTTTGCGGTTGTGTTGAACATTGGAGAAAGCAACGTTACACGTAGGTTCCTTTCACTTTGTCACAACGGTGTTTCACGGCACATATCTGGAGACCGCCTCCGTGGTGTAGTGGTTAGAGCGTCCGCCCGAAGAGCGGAAGGTCGCGGGTTCGACCCCCGACCGCGTCATACCTAAAGACGTTAAAATATGGTTGGTCCCTGCCTGGCGCTCGGCATTAATGGGTACAACAAGGACTGGTGTGTCTGAGTGGGGTATTCATGCTTCACTGCGGGGTGGTATCTCAGTGGGCTAGCACCATAAAACCAGTTTCAGTCTGGGCTAGTACAAGCAGCCGCACATACACACACACACACATGCACGTCGTCATGAGCGAAATATTCTCGACGTTAAACCCAATTTCACCTCACCCCACCTCACATATCTGGAGGATATTGTGTTTCTATTTTCAGGTTTCAAGAACTGACATTCGGAAAGATGACGTCACTCTGTAAAAACGTCATGGCCAGATATATGACGTCACAAGCTTCCTGACACTTGAATGTCAGCAGAATGTGGAGAAAAACCTTTTGATGGTCTTCGGCGTGACGAGTAAACGTTTACCACGAGGCCAACCATTCTGACTGACTGACTGAGTTTAGTTTTACGCCGCTTTTAGCAATATCCCAGCAATATCACGGCGGGGGACACCAGAAATGGGCTTAACACATTTTGCCCATGTGGGGAATCGAACCCGGGTCTTCGGCGTGACGAGCCAACGCTTTAACCACTAGGCTACCCCACCGGCCCCCAACCATTCTGAAGTGATAGACGTTGAATACATCTCTTGGGGTCTTCCTCCCACCTCATGATGACACGCAGTGAAATTACCGGAACGCTGTTGAAGGCGGCGTTAAACACAACTCACTCACTCACTCACTAACCTACGCACATGCAGAAAGTCTACATTTCCAGGATCCAATCTCTTTTAACAATGTTTCACCACAAAACAGACAGTAGCACTCACCTACGTTGTTCAAACCTTACTAGGCCGTATCCGAGGTGTAGTGGTTAGAGCGTCCGCCCGGAGAGCGGAAGGTCGCGGGTTCGATCCCCGGCCGCGTCATACCGTTAAAATATGGTACTTGTTGGTCCCTGCCTGGCGCTCGGCATTAATGGGCACAACAAGGACTTGTCGGCTCGGAGTCAGTATAATGTGTCTGAGTGGAGTATTCATGCTTAACTGGGCATGGTATCTCAGTGAGCTAGCACTATAAAACCAGCTTCAGTTTGGGCTAGTACAAGCAGCCGCACATACACATACATGCACGTCGTCATATGAGCGAAATATTCTCAAGTGCGACGTTAAACCCCATTTCACCTCACCTCACCTCAAACCTTACTAAGAGTGAGTTTAGTTTTACGCCGCACTCAACAATATTCCAGCAAAATGGCGACGGTCTGTAAATAATCTAGTCTGGACCAGACAATCCAGTGTTCAACAGCATGAGCATCGATCTGCGCAATTGGGAACCGATGACATGTGTCAACCAAGTCAGCGAGCCTGACCACCCGATCCCGTTAGTTGCCTCTTACGCCAAGCATAGTCGCCTTTTGTGGCAAGCATGGGTTGCTGAAGACCTATTCTACCCCGGATCTTCACGGGTCACCTTACTAAGAAGGAAGTAGCACTTCGGTGTCTACACGGACGTAAACCACTGACTGACAGACTAAAATATACAATAAAACTGAAAGAAGCATGTGAATGAAAACTTTAATACAATGGTACAATACAATTGCATCAAAACTAACAGATTCTACAAGCGCGTGTAACGTTTAATGTTGCCATATGCATGGTTCAGGAAGATTTTTTCAAAGCAATATTTTACAGGAAAAGGGAGTTAGAATGCCGGGATGTAGGGGTTTTACGAGTCAAATGATTATGTACACGAAATCAAGGTGAGGTGAGGTGAAATTGGGTTTAACGTCGTGTGACGACGTGCATGCGTGTGTATGTGTATGTGCGGCTGCTTGTACTAGCCCAGACTTAAGCTGGTTTTATAGTGCTAGCCCACTGAGATACCACCCCGCAGTGAAGCATGAATACCCCACTCAGACACATTATACTGACTCCGAGCCGACCAGTCCTTGTTGTACCCATTAATGCCGAACGCCAGGCAGGGACCAACAAGTACCATATTTTAACGTCTTTTGGTATGACGCGGTCGGGGATCGAACCCACGACCTTCCGCTCTCCGGGCGGACGCTCTAACCACTACACCACGGAGGCGGTCACGAAATCAAGGGTCAAGGGACGTGTTCAGACTGACTGACTGACTGACTGAGTTTGGTTTTACGCCGCTTTTAGCAATATTCCAGCAACATCACGGCGGGGGACACCAGAAATGGGACGTGTTCAGACGTTCAGCTCGTAAAATCATACCAACCCAGGTATTGACGTGTAACTATCGATCTTTACTAGATCAATCGCTTGAGTTAATGAGTTTGGTTTAACACCTAATTCATCAAACATTCAAAACAATAAGTTTTGGGAGACATACTTGCGATAAAAACAGATCGGTAGACTGTACAGATTTAGTTGTGGCGTGGCAAGCATGCGGCGTAACATTTAACATTACGAAGACGTAGTGTCTGATGGGATAGGCCAGCCGACTTGTACAATCGTGCCTGGACCAGACAATCCAGTGACTGATATCGTGAACAACGATCAAGATTACCCGTCTTCAATCAAATCTGACCACCTGATCCATTTAGCCCCCTCTTACCTAACGATATATTTTACGACCAGCACGGGCTGCTGAATACTAAAATATACACCCTCACAAGGGACTGGATAGGAAGAACATCCCTAGTCGACATTGGTCAAACACCAGTCTATGTATAAAGGAGATCACTGGTCGACATTGGTCAAACGCCAGTCCATGTAAAGGCTACTGGTCGAGTCCATGTATAAAGGGCTCACTGGTCGATTGGTCAAAAACACCAGTCTATGTATAAGAGGCTCACTATCGACATTGGTCAAACGCCAGTCTATGTATGGTCGGTCGACATTGGTCAAACACCAGTCCTAGTATAACAGGGACTCCTGGTCGACATTGGTCAAACACCAGTCCTAGTATAACGGACTCTCTGGTCGACATTGGTCAAACACCAGTCCAAGTATAAAAGGACTCTCTGGTCGACATTGGTCAAACACCAGTCCAAGTATAACAAGGACTCTCTGGTCGACATTGGTCAAACACCAGTCCTAGTATAACAGGGACTCTCTGGTCGACATTGGGCAAACACCAGTCCTAGTATAACAGGGACTCTCTGGTCGACATTGGTCAAACACAAGTCCATGTACAACAGGGACTCATGGTCCAGATCGATCAACGCCAGTCGAAATATATGTGGAATTCCAATGCCGAGATTCTGCTTAGGAATGACTTAATACCGATCACTGTATACAGGGGAATTCCATGGTCCGGGTTGTACGAGTGCTGATCCAAGTTCAAGGGGATGTCTCTGGTATTGAGGAATCTCATAGTCCCAGCATGAGTTTCCAAATGTCAGGTCTAAACTTTCTATACAATGATCCATTAATCTGTCTCATTGTATGGCGAATCACCCATACAGCTCTTCAGTAGGATCCATGGGCAATGTAAAGTACCTGTCTATAACATTAGGCCTTCGCCCTTGCACAGAGCGAGAGTGGAGAACCCTTTCTAGTACGTGTTCCAGAAAGAACCGTGGTCAGTTGTCGACCGAACTCCAGCCCTAGTGTAACGAGAACAAGCAACAGGGCTATTGTCTACATACCGACCGACACCACCCGCTGGGAGGGTGTTCTTGATCGACACTCGCCACAACAGGGGCCGCGACCCTACACTGTTTCTCAGCATATCGATCTATTAAATAAAACTCCGCGAGTGGCGAGATCAGTTGCCGATCACATCGTAAAATCTGAACAAAATCCTGTCGGAATCAATGAACTCCTTGGGACAAGAGCAACCTGTTCACAAGCTGGACATGACGGGGCGGTATACAGGGAAAAGGGGGGAGGGGGGATTATGGAACAGTGTTATCCGTCACTTGGGTTCTTACCTGTATATCAGTACGATTTTGTTTTTAGGTGTTATTATTATGGGACCAGGTTATTATGTCAAGAAGTAACTCATATACCACTACGAAAGGTTCTAGCTCTTAACGAGGCCTAGTTTGTAGACACACAATTGTAATATTTTTTTAAATCAGCTCAAATAAAATTCGATTTGAATAAAAAAGTGAAGACATATGTAACATATTTATAGTTCAAAGTCATGAGCTGAATATTTACACAGGTAAAAAGACGCTTTAATTTTTACGTTTCATTCATCCATTAATTTATTATAGTTTTTTTGCAAATATTATGAACTACGGAAAGCAAATAAAATCGCGAGAAAACAAACATTTAGACGGACACAGTTGAAAAGAATTGCCGATACGAGCATACCGTGACAACAAGCGGTTAGCCACTGAGCGAGGGCTAAACATGCGTGGAAATTGGCACCAAGAAAAATGTACTCACCATTTTTGCTTATAGTGGGGAATCACACAAATACTCTCCGTCGATGTGTCAGCCCGTCTCGAACGCCTTCGGAGTGGTCCGTTCGGCTCGCTATGTTAGTTGAGACATAGCTAGGCTTCGTCGACCAAAACACTTCCCTCTAACAACACCGTAAACACACAAGCCACCTTCACCCCTTCGACACAATGGCGTTGCGAGAGACGCGAGTGGTTAATGTCAGTGCGGCACACACTCTCGAAGTAAACCATTGAAAACGCAACCTAGTTCATATCAGTGCAATTGTAAACATTCCCTACCGCCCGGCACATGTGTTTAGATCGGAGTGATTAGAAAATGTGGATCGGCAACGCCAGCGCGTTTCACCAATAACGAAACGAAACGATCCGCGCTTCAGCTGTGTTCCTCGCTGAAGAGAACCACAGCCTATTTATAACCTCACAGTTGCAGGCATTTGCTGTATTGATAAAATTAGATCTGTTTTCCGTTTATAGGCGAGCACCATTTTGGAAATCTGTTTTTCTTAGTAATTAATCGAAAACTCAGGCGTGTATGCGTTTCTTTTTAGTTTTATGTAAGTGCTGGCAATAAAGATTACAATGTTTTTCCAATCCCCGCAGTACGTTTTAATTTAAATGTATTCAATTATCGTGATGAAACCGTTATTTTCACTCATAATAAATCAAAACATAAACCCGAAAATACCGTTAAGTTCAGGAAGCATGGAATATGAGTTTACTTGTGTCCTTTGCTTATGCAATTTAACTTTTAAACTTTTCATCAAATTATTTAAAAGCTATAAGCAATCTGCTGGGTTCTGTCCCATGAGATATTAAAAAGGTATAGAGCAAACATTTGGTTGGAGAGGAGGGGATACTGGGATTTCTGTCAAGATTAGATATTTTGAAAGCTTTTGGTGCAAAAACAGATTTTCTGGAATTATGGCTGACACTGAATTATCTCAAGAAACCTTGTAACAGTGACAACAATGTATTTTTGCAGCAGGTAATTTCACATTCTTTTCAACAGTCTGAAGGGGCGGTGGGGTAGCCTAGTCTTTAAGGCGTTTGCTCGTCACACCGAAGACCCAGGTTCGATTCCTCACATGGGTACAATGTGTGAAGCCCATTTCTGATATCGCTGTAATATTGCTAAAAGCGGAGTAAAAGTAACACTCACTCACTCAACAGTCTGAAACATGATTACAGTCTTCAAGCATTTTCTTGGACAAACTGAAGGTCTAAAGGTCTGCATCTTGTTAGAATGTAAAATGCCATCAAATATGCATATGGGTTTTTGGCGTGTGTTCGTTTGAATTTTGTTGTAAAATCATAAATTCATGAGTGAGTTGAGATTTTCGTCCCCAAGCAGTATTCCAGCCGTCACGGTGAGGAATACTAGAAATGGGCTTCATATAATATACCCAGTCCTAAGATGTGACGAGCGAGTGAGTGATTTTAGCAACATACTCAGCAGTATTCCAGCTATATGGCGGTGGTCTGTAAATAACCCGAGTCTAGACCAGACGATACATACAGTGATCAACAGCATCAGCATCGTTCTACGCAATTGGGATACGATGACATGTGTCAACCAGACCACCCGATCCCGTTAGTCGTCTTTTACGACAAGCATGTGTATCGCGTTAGACTTTAGCGGATACAACTGAAAAATATCAGTTATCTTTGTGAAACAGTACAAAACAGACACTGCATCATGCCGATGTTGACAGATGAAGGTGATCATATTTAGGGAAGCATATTGTTGTCATTTCTGTAACAGTTATCACTAGGGCTGCGCAATATAACCGGTTTACCGGTATTTACTGGTTCAGACATGAAAACGATACGTATTGCGATACGCTGATCGAAAACCGGTATTTTGACATGCATTCGGAAAACTTCGTAACGCTCGGAAATCTTCGGATATTTCCGTTTTTTGAATTGTTCTTTTCCCTGTTTCATTAGTGCCAAATGTTACTTAAATTTTTATTTTGTCATGATTAAAAGTTTTTATAAAAGATTAATCAATCATAGTGATTTTTTGTGTTTTTGCTTTATAATCAAGCATTAACTCGATTATAAGTAGTTTTTGTTTAAAAAATAATCCTTGCAATATATTGCAATACATATCGCAATATATGCTCCCGCATCGCAATATATTGCAATATGAAAATTCTCTGCAATACCCACCCCTAGTTATCGTGTTCAACGTCGCCTACATATGCACCATCGTGAAAGCTCGTGTGTCTGTAGGTAACTAACTCCAGAGAACTACCGAGTCAATTAAACAGAATACTACCGGTTCTATGGCGCCAGCCTACTGAGGTATTTAGCATTTTATCATGCATGATCCATTTAGACACGGTAAACTGACCAGAATGAGGGGTGCCAAACAAAGTGCAAAAAGTCAAACAAAATTCTTCCATGTGAAGGGGCGTTCCCACGCTGAAGGCCTGGGTTTTATAGCCAGTCTGGGTAAAATGTATGAATGCATGGTTTTCCCCCTTGATATAAGCCAGAGTACGACAGAAAGCGACGTAAAACAATACTCACTTAATCAATCAATCAATCAATCAATCAATGATCTCGGACATTTGGGAATTCGCAGTATTGCATCAGTAATCACCCAGTTTAATGCACTTCATAGAAGCGACATTTACAAAAGTTACTTGAGAGGATCGTTTGTGTAAGTATATGCCATGTTATAATAATCAACAATCCATCTTCATCCAGATGATACTGTATCCAGAGATGCGACCTTTTGATAACTTTTAGATTGCATACAGATGTGATAAATGTTGATAGAACATTATGATATATGTCTCACAGAGTTATTAAATCACCTCCAAGCATGACACTTTAATTGCTGTTTGTTGAGTACAAAATGGCATGTTTAAGCCTTCAGCAGTAAAATATTTTTTATGATGCATGTGGATGGATATATGACGCATAAAGATTCCTTATTTCAGCGATTGTAGCTTGAAAGCTTAATGAGGAAGTTCCAAATACTGACCCAAAGACCGAGGAAATAATCATGAAGCCTGCGGAGGAGCATTTACTTGATTGACGGAATCTAACACATTTTCATTATTATTATGTTTTACAAATTAATTAAAATTCAGCAGAGAGAGGTTGGGTGATCCTGGCTCAGTCAGGTTGGTTTGGCTCACCTTACACTCTTTCCAGAGGTGAGGTGAGGTGAGGTGAGGTGAGGTGAAATTGGGTTTTACGTCGTACTTGAGAATATTTCGCTCATATGACGACGTGCATGCGTGTGTATGTGTATGTGCGGCTGCTTGTACTAGCCCAGACTTAAGCTGGTCTTATAGTGCTAGCCCACTGAGATACCTTTACATGGGACATCTTCCAGAAAATGCTACCTTGTTGAACCCACCAAGAACGTTTCCGAGAATGTGTCGACTTCCAGAAACCAAAGATGTGTTCCGAGCAGCAAACATCAAATGTCAACCAAGAGATTGGTAGGTACCGAAAGCACCACAAACAATGGGGAGTCGGACAAGTTGGTTCTAGGGATGCAAGCGTGACATTACGTAAACGAAGTCTGCATATTTGCCATGTTTGTCATGAATGTTGTCAATTAGAATACTCTTAAAAGGGGACAGAAAGTTCAATGATATAAATAATTTTATTTGTTTTATTAAAAGGACCAGGTCAGATTTGTTCAATTCTTAAATTCAGATTCCGATTTGATGTGACACTTGGCTTGGTTTGACACTCACTCATTTCTGTAACGTCCAGAAGTACCATTAACAAAATCAACATTGACATTGCGTTTTCCCTAACATCCTTGGCTCGTTTATGGAAACTGTGGAATGTATGTTTTCATCATGAGTTCTGACATGGTTCACAAGAGAATCATCAAACACATGAATGTGTACAAAGGTGCTCAATAACATTCTGTCACACCTAACCCTTCCAATATAACTGATAAATGTAAGCGATTGACTGAGCCTGTGAGAGATTGTGGTGACATATGTTGTCTGACATAATGAATATTCTTTGTGTGAGAGAGTTTTGCTTCGTCCAATCAACAGCACCATAAGCATATGAAAGGAGGGGCATAGCATATGCATTTTACTTTGACGTCATCGCGAGACTACTGATCTAAACTTCAGATTTTCAAACGTCTACTTTTGTGGTCTTCCGAAGTTTGTTCTTTATATGTCCAGTCCGGAGTTCGCATCTTATCTGCATACAAAAGTGACGAGACCGTCAGTACAAAACTTTTTTCCCGAGTAAAATTACTGATCCCATCACGTCTACCTAAGTGTTCGAACTGTCGAGCCCGAGGGCAAGTGTCACTGGAAAAGATCTCAAAACGGGTAATGTGTTTCTTCAGGTGGATTCTCTCTTGGCAAAGAGTTCACACTCATCCATGTGAAGGATGTATGTAAGAGTTGTTGGGGATCTGTGCTGTGGAGGTCCAGGTATAATTCTGCCTCAAAATGATTATGTTACAAACATAAAAGCAAAAGACTGAATGACTCGCCCTGCAACGTTCCTCTTCTTGTTTAAATGAGTTCTAAAGTCAACACGTGCTCCTGCAAATACGGCTCAAGTTCAGTTGACGAGCTCAAGGAGGACAATACATTCCATTGACCTTATAAGAGAATCATTTCAGTCTGTCAAAGACATTGAGAAGTTTAAAGGGGCCCATATTCTCTTTAGTCCTGGATCATGTTGGGAACCAAAACATCTTCATTATAAGCATCATCATCATCATAATCATCGTCGTCGTCATCATCATCATCATCATTATCATTATTGTCATCACCATCATCGTCGTCGTCGTCATCATCATCATTATTGTCATCATCATCATCATCATCATCATCATCATTATTGTACGTCGCACAGGGCAGAAACGTATAACAATTTATGAAACTCACACAGCAGCGATTTAAATTGATCATTGACCTATCCTGCCCTTGAAATACTGCCGTGTGGAATATGAAAATAACAACGTCGAATGTGCGGGCATAACGTTTATGAGTAATGAACTGCTTCTAATCTCCGTTGAGTGACAGTGTTTATGTGAATTTAAGAAGGAATTCCAAACTGCAGACTCGTATCTTGGGTTCTGCAAGTTCGTTACCTGGAGCAGTACCCGAACCTGTTATCTCTGGCTACATATTTAGACGCTCCTTTTTCACAAAAGAATACAAATGTGTTGTTGCCGCTGGGCATATGCTAACCGATTGCAAGCACGTAGCACCAAGGGAAACAACTCTCCAAACGCAGGCAAAGAGCAGTAACTTCGTCTTTTGATGTTGTGAGTGGGGTATATCTTTCAGAAGACAAAGGCTCGATCCACCACACACACACAATGCGAAAAGCCATTTATCGTGCCCCGTGAGGATATCGTATTTCTAAAACTTGAGCAACTTTCTACACTTCTAGGCGTGGAAGATGTATTAGGCTTCCCTGCCTCTCCAAGACATCCAAACGTCATTATGTTGACAACCCGCAAAGAAACACACCCCTTCCCAGATGAGGAACTGACCGCTGAAGTAGTTATTTGTGTTTAATTGTTCATTTATGTCGACTTATTATAAGTAACTAGTCCGAATGGTAAACAATACCTTGGTGCTAACACGGGAGACTTTGGTTGTTCTTGCATATGTGTCCTGGCCTTTGGAAACAACTTCATTTATGCGACGTAGTATCCGAATCCTCAGGCAAGCAATGTTGAGTGAGTGAGTGAGTTAAAATTTAACGTCACATCGGCAATATTTCAGCCATATCGTGACGAGAACAATTAATTTTATACATAGTAAGTAATGGTAAACTGTAATAACCTGACAACGAAGGACAATAAAATAACTAGATTATCACAGATTCGAATTTAAAACTAGTAATTAAATCTAAAACATTTCAACTATAGGGGACAACATAATATAAAAATAGGCTATAGATCGCCAACAACTGAAGGTAGATCACCATACTAGGGACCATGGGGACTTACAAGCAATGTTGAAGTAGTGTGAACCTGTCATGTCATCATAGTAGTTCCGCCAGTCTCTCATTGGTTGATGAGGCATTGTCGTCATGGTAACGTTCAATTGGAACCATTCAGTACTTCATATGAACGGTATTAGCCCTGTAATAAATAGTAAAATGGATATGATAAATGAGCGGTAAAACAAACTTCTTACAATGAATATGTTTTGTTTTCATATTTATTACAATAACCTTGTGATAGCTGTGTTCTTTTTTGTTTTCATTATCATTTTTCTTAGCGTTTCCAAACTGTACGTCATCAAAGTATCATCATGAGTGAAATACTCCAGAGCACTGTTACTTTATACTATCGTCATCATACTTGTCGATAGCTATTGCATAACAATACTAATGAGGTTATGTTATGTGTCTTTACTGACTTTATGGGGATTTCCTGCATGTGTGAGCAATTCAACATCTGCATCAAAATCAGCAGCTATTCGTCTCTAAATGCATGTTTGGGAAAATAACACGAACATCGAATATTGGGACATAATACATTATAATTTGTGCTTGTGTTGCATTTTTCGTAAAGATTTTGCTGATGAGGATGTAAAATATCATTAAATGCTCTAAATAATGATCTCACAATAATTTTAGATTTGGGGAGATTTTTTTTCAATGGCAGGAGTATTGAATTAACATTCGCACTGCATAGTTTTCAAGACGATTTTAATGCATGTAATGGAAGTGAACAAATTTTAGCATCTTGTAACCAAAAATGCCTGGCTAATCTTCAGAAAGGATAATTTTGAAATGTACAGTAAAAGAAATTTTACTTGAAACAAGAACCAATATGTCTTCATGTGCAATGGGATCTTCAAGCATTCGTCCGAAAACGCCGAGGGTTCGAGTTCATATGCAATTGATTACAATGTATGATTCCTATTTCTGTCTCCCAACCTGATATTGCTGAAATGTTGCGCAGCTCGCCCTTCGTTCCAAGGATTGGGGCGTTGGGGTAGCCGAGTGGTTAAAGCGTTCGCTCGTCACGCCGAAGAACCGGGTTCGATTCCTCACATGAGTACAATGTGTGAAGCCAAATTCTTTTGTCCCCCGCCGTTATCCTGCTGCAATATTGCTAAAAGCGGCGTAAAACTAAACTAACTCACTCACTCACTCACTCACTCGATTGTTCCAAACATCCCTGCTTTGTGTATGCTGTATACCGTGTTTCACTGGACAACTGGATATTTTCTGTGTTTGTCATGATGTTTTTATACTGTCGACTTAAAATAGAATATAACGAATTACCCCTGCTGACAAACTCGATTCCTATCAGCCCCTAAAAATTGCTGATTTAGAAGAAAATCCACAAGAATTAAGTGTTATGTATGTTTAAAATGATTAAGTCTGCTCCCACGCCTAGTCCTATCGCAATAAATGCCAACACTAATTACGAACGTGTAGATAAAGTAACATTAACCATAGGGGCATGCACAGATAACGGGGAAATCATTTTCAGTAATTTTCCCCCTGAGAGATATAATTTCTGCTTCACGTTGATTAAGTTTTGTTCGTTTGTTTTGACTGTTTGTTGAGTTTCCCTATGGTGTTATATAACCGCAGTGCGGGATACAACTGTAAATGATTTATTGTTCGACACCAAACAGAAACCCTAAAAATGATTTATATATTTTTTAATACAAAACTGACCAGTTCAACTCGTCTTCGTGAACTTGGCTGAAGTGTATGTTTTTGTACGTTGTCTTGTAAAAAGGAGATTTGTTGCATAACGGTTTCAACTCGCCAAAGGGAGATATATACTCATAGAAACGAATAAGGGAACACATGAAAGTACAATTGTTCCTTTATTTATTTCCAGAATTTCACTCACAGTACAATACATACCTTGTGAAGAAACCTGGAAAACATAGAGGAACACTTGTACTTTCATGTGTTTCCTTAATCGTTTCCATGAGTAACTCTCCTCAAAATGCACTTGTAACAGATAATCTTCTTTCCGAGCAGGAGATGCACTGTCAAGTAAATATAAATGAGAAAATCTTTGTAGTGAGTGAGTGAGTTGCGTTTTACGCCGCTTTTAGCAACATTCCAGCAATATCACGGCAGGGGACACCAGACATGGGCTTCACACATTGTACCCATGTGGGGAATCGAACCCGAGACGAGCGAACGCTTCAACCACTAGGATACCCCACCGCCCCTTTCATTATTGTAGGAAATATCAGCTAAGAGAAGAGTCAATGGTACGATATTCTAACTTTATCATGAAGATATGTTTATCAATCACTTTAAAATGATTACACCGGGTGTTTCTGAAAAGGAAAATCCACCGATGGCACCCGTTACAACACATGCAAATGTAACTGAAGTCTTCACTTCGACTCAAAATATGATACTAAATTAAATATAGGGAACTGCATCGGTCATCTTTTTCATTACTGAAAAGTCGTGTTCCCTACTTGCCAACACCCATTCCTCTGACTGTCTTCAAAGAAAATGTCGTGCTTTTGAGTTCATGGTAAGTTATCATGACTGCACTTCTTACAGAAATAGCTATAGACTGTTCCAGGTGGTTGAAAAATTAAACAAGAAGTCTAGTTAGATTGTACAGAATGTGTACACACTAATGTTTTAAATATATATTTTTTAAATCAATCCATATTCTTTAGGGTTCCCTCATGTCTGGAAAGTTGAAATTGTAATGATAAAAATATATAATAATAACAAGAACATATTTTTCAATTTGTTTGAAAAGTTCCAGTTAGTTCAGCTTGAGCCAGTATCATCAAGGAACTGGGGCGTTCTCTTCCTTCCACATCAGTTGGAAATGTCCTCCACATGTTTGCCATTAAATGTTTGGAACCTTAAGCATTACCATGGCCTTGAGTGATGTAACCCTAATCCAGTAACGTTTGAGAATCATATCACGACATGTTTGAATAAAAATAGGCAAACTCAAGAGCATTTCAAATGTTTGCGTGAAGGGTATGTTGACTTTTGGAAAACATCTCTTCTTTCATGCGGTCTTGATGATATGTTTTTGGTGTTATGTTTGCTGTTTTCAATTTTACCCAAAGATCCTGATATAAAACAGATGAGGCAGTTTCTCTGGTGCCCTTAATGTCGAGGTCAGGTTAAAACTTAAACCACGAAAAGCAATCCATAAAAATCAAAGTAGTTCGTAGTTCACTTTATCTGCCTTTATTGAATATCTTAGAATCACTTGATCCAGCACTTTTTTAAATGTGAGTACTCTCTGAGCACTAACCAGGTGGAACGCGTGTTCGTTCGTGGCTCCCTATAGTGTTTCCTGTGGCTTGGTACTTCAAACACACGGGCACACGATGCAGTTTGTGCTTCGACTGCAACGAAGTGAATTAAAGGACCGACGCTTTAAACGGCCGACCAAATGTTTTGCTGCTGAAACAAATTTTGGTCCACTCATTATGTCTGAGCAAATGAATCCCGATATCTGTCATGGTCGACCCCCTCGTGTATATCAGATAAATATCTGCCAAGGATTTAGGGAACAAATGCCGTCCGGTGTTTGTCCTAATGGAAGGAAAGAATAAAAATATAAAAGAATGGAAATGAATAGTTTGTCCTACATAGTTTGTCCTAATAGTTTGTCCTAAATAGTTTGCCCTATAACGTTTGTCCTAATAGCTTGTCCCAAATAGTTTGCCTTAATAGTGTGTCCTAAATAGTTTGGGCTAATAGTTTGCCCTAATAGTTTGACTAATAGTTTGTGCAACATTTTGTAGTTTGTCCTAAATATATCCCCCTAATAGTTTGTCCTAACAGTTTGTCCTAAATAGTTTGTCCAATATAGTTTGCCCTAATAGTTTGCCTAATAGTTTGTCCAACATAGTTTGTCCTAATAGTTTGTCCTAAATAGTTTGTCCTGAATACTTTGTTTGTCCTAATAGTTTGTCCTGAATACTTTGTCCTAATAGTTTGTCCTACAGAAGATGGCGCAATGTGTTAGCGTTCAGGTAGTTCGGCTTCGGAACCTGATGCTGGCGTGGGTTCGGATGTTTCTTTCGTTATCAACCCGGACTTGGTCCATTACCTGCAGGCCTATATTGTTCGATTTGAGTGCGTGTTGGCTTCGTGTTGGCTTCGTGTTAGCTGCGTTTTGACTCCGTGTAAAACAGCATATCGTTAACATTCACCGATCGTCTCAGACATGATCGTATAAGCCGTTCAAGACCCAAATGCGTGGTCACATCTTGATGACCCAATTCACACAGACACACACCAAACAGGAACGACGAACATCATCATCGTCTGACACCATCGGATGCGGTGTATGTACGTTCCGATTCTATTGTCATACGACATACACTGTGACGTCACATCAACTGTTCCAAGTCTCGGCTTGATCACACGAGAACGTGACGTTTCATAGTCTCCTCGCGCTTTCTTTCCAAGCAATGGAGATGGAGGAAATTGTCTATCGACCAGGTGGTTGTTGGTTTACGAACGAACAGGGGACGATCGAAGAGGTGTATGTTGCTTCGACTTTGCAGTTGTTTACTTTCGTTTCCACTCAAGCAAAACAGCAGTTAAACCATGACCCTATCTGGCAGAAGACGATCAACAAAATTGGCACATTCTTGTCCATGTTGACACGATGGTTCGATTCCATGACTTAGTACCAAGTCGTTAGCTTTTACAAGGAACGTGTCAAAACAGGTGCATTTAGGTTACCCTTGCTAATTTAGCTCTTGAAAACTAAAGGGGCAACATAGCTTCTTCAAGATCCCATATTATTTCAACAAACCCGCACCATGGTTTCATAGCAAAGTACTTGTTTTGGTCACTTGAATGTAAAGTGAAAGCAATTCAGGACGGAAACGCGTGTCAACATACTCCCCTGCCAAACCAATATAAACGTATGCAGTTGTCGCCCTTTTGTTGTTGACGTCATGAAACAACAACAGAGCGCAGAAGTGTGACTTCCTTCTTAAATGAGCGAAGGTTTCGGTAAATATTATCAGTGTTCAAAACGAATGAAAACTGTGAAAGAAATATATATCGCAAACATCCCTTTGAAGGATGGAGAAAGCTATTATGTATCTATCAATCAATGTCGAAATCACATGCATATTTGTACCCTTCCAAGTCGGAACTTCAAGCCCGGTTCAATAAATAAATATATTGGCAGTAAAACACGCCGAGCTAAACCAACTGTGTCCACTGTGAAATACTAGTACATGTAATTCAAATTCAACCCCTTCAATATTTATAGTATAATTATTCCGCAGTACAGTCATTTGTAGATAGTGGTTTTAGGTACATTTGCGTAGTATCCTTGGACAAGATACTTAGATCCGCATTGTCTCAGTTCACCCAGCTGTAAAATGGTTACCCGTGATGATGTGCTTTCAATGTGACTTTTTAGTTCATTGCGCCTAACAGGCAGCATAGCTGTATGATCCCAAGGGAGTTGAAAAAGTATCGGAAAGTACGATAGTGTCCTATGACCGGGGATAGTAATGTACGTAGTGCCGTGAGTCGGCAATGTGCCTGGATATGAGCGCCATATAAGCGGACTATTACTATCGAGCTAGTTAAGCTTAACGCAACTATCAACAGTGTATATAAGTGATGTTGCATCACTACATCTGCTTGGTGCGAGGGTACCCTTAAAGAACCCATGACTGTCGTAAGAGGAGAAAGGTGGTCAGGCTCGCTGATTTGGCTGGCACATGTCTTCCTATCCCAATTGCGTAGATCGATGCTCATGATGTTGATCACTGGATTGTCTGGTCCAGACTCGATTGTTTACAGACAACTGTCATATAGCTGTATTATTGCTGAGTGCGGCGTAAAACTAAACTCACTCACTCACTCACCCAATCCATCCAGTTAAACAACAAAGAAACAACTTGGTTTGAGGTAAGTAGTGGTGTTCCGATTAATTGAAATATTCGAAGATTGGTCGCAGTGACCAAACGACCAAGCAATCGATCACATTTTCTCATAATCGAACATAAACGAATTTGGAACTACTGTTTTAGTCTTTTGAAATACTTGACAATGGAACATATCTTAGAAGTTGTCAGGGCCTGAAAACATGTTTATTTCTTAGAAAACTCACTTCACTAACTGAAAAGTCATGACTGAATATTTCTCTAAGACTCAAGGAAGTTTATGTTAATGATATATTAGTCATCACTTTAATGTAGCACGTTGCAACATGTTATACTTTTCTGCAGTAACAACCTGGATAGGAAAATCTGAAAAATGACGCTAACCAATTTATTTTTCGATGATTGTTCGTTGGTAATGAAGCAATCATCAATTGTGAGATTTCAACCAATTCCAAACACTAGAGGTAAGAGAGACAGCGGTGATGTGAGGATTAGATTTTTGCCATATTTGTGAAATCAAATACCACGGACATGGTGCTGGCAAATTTCAGTGCAGTAGTAATTCGATCCCAAGTTCATAGGTTTCTGGCACGCTTAAGGGAGGTAATTCTGCACAGCGAAATTCAGGGCCTTTGGCAATTAGGCCATCACTGCCCCGGTTCTATTCTGGTCAAGACTCTCATCGCTTCCTTCTTAACATCTTTGTCATGCTTAAATCTTGTGTTAGCGATTGCAAAATCCGATTCGGGATTCAAAGGTGGAAAGATCACGGCAACCGGAAAGATGTCCTTGGGTTATTCGAACGTTGGTTATGTCTTCTTTAAACAAACTTATGATTAAAGCATCGTAACGACAGTGATCCAATAAACTGTTATATTTACCACATGAACACTTCCGCTGAATTCTCGTTGGCTTATGTCTGAACTCAACGATAATGAATTGTATCATGAACTACTTCAGTCACCAGACATATTGAACTACCGGTAGCCGTATTGTATCTGAACATCTACTTATATCCACTTTAATGGTTATACCGCCTTCCCACAAGTGGGTATATAGTTCAAAGCATTTTTATTACATCCTTCAATCGTCAAGCCTTGCCTCATATACTCTAGGTATGGTTTCAGGATATAAAATACTGGAAGGTCTCACTTAGGCTCGATCTTTAATCGGCAGTAAAAGAACAGTCTGTGGGGCTTCTTATTTTGTCTCTCATACTGATACTGTGGCGGTGGGGTAGCCAAGTGGTTCAAGCGTTCACTCGTCACGCCGAAGACCCGGGTTCGATTTCCCACATACTCGTATCATTCATGAGGTGTCAATAACGTATCATTACAAGGTGTCACTTCGCTGATATACCGGTCATGTTAACTGTGAAATGCGAAATATATGCCGCGAAGTTTTACTATGCGTGTGGTACGAGAATCAGCAGTTCAGTCATGTCTACGTAGATATTGTTTAAACAAGGTATTAGGTGTCACGCTGGACACATTGTCCTCATAATGCGTCACTCCGTGTGTGTACTAAAAATAGCAGATGTCACTGCGATGATAAAAGGTACATTTCTGGTGTCCCCCGCCGTGATATTGCTGAAATATTGCTAAAAGGCGCCGTAAAACCATACTCACTCACTCATACTGACACTGTATGTATCTAAGTGAACCTTCTATATTGCAAGCCGTAATCTGACGATTTCCAAAAGTAAGAATTGATCATTTTAAAGAACTATAACTCTTTAAACATGGTTACAATCTTTATATTCCGTGCATATCTCTGGTCTAAAGTAAACACGAGTGAATCCAAAGAGGTTCAGAAAGTTATCTTGCGAGATGACAAGCTTCAACTGACGTTGTGATGATTGTTTGGAAGTTTTGATTTAGATTATTTAGAACTACCTGACGGACCTGACCCTCATCGTTATCAGGTTGGACTAATTCCAACCCGAGCCCTGCGGTTCAGCATTCATGACGATGATGTCACTTTTTTCACCTGAACATATAGCAGTCTGCCACTTGAACTGATGAAGAGTTAGTGAGTACGGATGATCAGGAGTTTAGTTATATAACGGCATGTCAGTGTTGTGTGGTAGGAAAGACCCAAATGATGCCTTAGAGGTCTCAGTTGTTTGTCACTTCTGTGAAACCCACAAACACGGGTATAACGCTGAAAACCCCAGAACATCATGACGATCTGGAATTGGATCTCCTGATCATAACGTTCCTGGCACAACAAGACCCCCATCCTTTCAGGTCGGTAGGGACATTCCAACTCCGTTCCCTTTCTATGGAATCCTGGAAGGGACATCGTTGTCGCATTGTCGCGTCGTCGCCCTCTCAAAAACAAGCAAAATGAGGCAAAATTAGCCAAAGCGCGACAATGCGACGGCGCAACATTTCGGCCATCTGTCGCATTGTCGCATGTCGCGTTTTGAATAATATTTTTCTGTTCCTCCAAAGGGCGACAATGCGACATAGCGACAAGTTTCAAGGTCAAAATATGTCGCATTGTCGCCCCATCTAAGATGTGTAAATAAAGCCTAAAAATGCTCGACAACCCGACAACGCGACAATGTCCCGTCCTGGATTCCATACTTTTCAGATGAAGACGTACTAAATGAAACATCGACGGTGTCACCAGTGCAAATGTTGTCATAAAGACTTAGTGCATAAACCAGAAATCTATTTTCGGGCCTCGATTTCTTCAACAGATGTCAAAAACCCAACACGGGCCACAAATATTACATCAATCAAACAAACGCACTCGTACAAACTCGGGACACGAGTGTCTGGTTTAATAAAAAGACTCCATGTAACGTTTACGTGCTTCTGTTCTCTCGTCAGAAGCGTCCTGGGAAGCCTCAGTTTATGCTGGGTTCTCTCTTCTTATCTGTGTTCTCAAGGGCCTTTTGTTGCCTTATCTCATGCTGGCTGTTGTGCTTTGTTTTTCCTGTCTTGTCATGCTGGCTAAGAAAGGAACTATTGTCACAGACATTGTTGAAGATGCTGATATAGCCAATCTTAGGTCAACGAGTAAGGTTGCGCAGTAAGAAACGTCAGAATCGTTTACACCTTGATGTGTGTTCCCACCATCTGATCCGTCATGTTGGCTGTGCTCCCAATAACTCGGGTGCATATCAAAGCCAGGTTCCAATATTGTTGAGAGGACTGTACAGCTGTGCTTGATGGCACCATCTCGCTAGCCGACCCCGTCGCTAATACTGGTACTGTTGTTTCATATATATTTTTTAATCGATACCATGCTGCATTTTGAAACCAGAGGATCGAGAGAGAGGTTGAAAACGTTATTATTGTTTCATTATATCATGTCTACAATTTCAAAAATAGCATGTCTTAGCATCAGTTGACATTTGTAAACGTGGGAATATGAGATTCGAACTTACAATTGCCGGATCCTGACAGTTACCGAAGGGAAACAACTGGGCGTAGCGATAAGCGGTACCATGTGGGAGCGTCGTGGGCGAACTGTCTAAAGCGCCGGGCTAGTGATCCAGCGAGCATGAGGTGACGGGATCGAGTCTTATGAGAGTGTTCGGGTTTTTTGTAATTTGTAATTTGTAATATCACACTGTTTAAGTGATAGTTATTATGGGTCACAATGTTTGAAGTTTTGAGTGTGGGTTTGGCTCGCATCTCACATCATACATGTTCAATGGCAATAGTAGCGGCACGCCTTTTTGATAGTGCTTCAGAGTTGCCTCCCTTGGGGCAATCTTTTGTATTTGTTTTTGTCTTCCGGTCGTGTGTTCGAGAAAATCTGAGAGAATGTTCTGAGGGAATAATGATGGAGCCTAGCTTTGCTAGAATGCTCGGGAACTGTGTAAGAGCTATATATATATAGGCTGGTGGTTGAGTAGTGTGATCGGGACTTTCCACATGTCTGGATTTATACACATCTGTCTGCCATCGTTGTTCAACATTTCAAGACTGACCCTGCTTGCCTGCTGCCATTGTAAACAACCTTCAATCAGTATATTTGCTCTCACTGTAAATGTCAAGACTCTGGTGAGTTAATATTTTATATTTGTGACCCAATATTTTGGATTTTTGACTCAATTGCATTGTACTAGAAATCTATATTGTCATTCACTGTAGTTTGCTCATTGTTTGCTCAATATATTATTGAATATTTTAGACTTGTCTGTATTCTATTTTGCTGGTTCAAAAAGGATTCTGAAACCTTTGTCATGGCAAATTTATTAACCGTAACACGAGCCCACCTGTGACCGGGTGCGAAAACCATGGAGTCAACTTTGTGTGCAGACTCTTTCAGTGTTGTCACAACCCCTAGTTTACAGTACACAACCCTGTGCACTTAAAAAAACACGAATCCATTGGTATATGACCAGATGGTGGCCACATGAATACGTGCAAACGCCTAGTTACGGGTACAGCAACGTGCAGTAAACTTGGACAAAGTACTGTGACTATGTGTCCCAGTCCACCCAGCTGTGAATGGGTACCTCGTAAGGATCGGAAAGCCACACTAACTCGGTGCACCTAGTGGCTGCAAGAGTTGTATGATCCCCAGGGAGTTGAGATTGATAATACGACGTGCCGTTGAGATTGACGTCCAGTGATCGAGGGAAAAACAAAGCGCCTTTGAGCAGCTGAGCTGGATATCGGTGCTATACAAATGTTAGTCTGTCTGTCTGTCAGTCTGTCAGCTGATCAGCTTGTTCATTTCTGTCCGAATTCAGCAATGGGAGACGGCGACCTGCGCCCCTTCCCGACACATTGGTTGGAGAAGTGAGTGAGTGAGTATGCTTTTACGCAGCTTTTAGCAGTAGGCCTATGCCAACATCAAAGCGGGGGGACACTAGAAATGAGCTTCATAAATTGTACCCATGTGGGGAATCGAACCCGGATATTCAGCGTGACGAGCGAATGCTTGAACCACTCGGCTACCCAACGATCATGTTTGGAGAAAATGTTCACGAACAAACGCAAGTAACTAAACATACTGTCCCTGGTATCCATGGTATAAATTACGTCGTAGTTGGCCTGTGGCATTCAATACCCTTTAAAACGTCTCTACCCGGCTTAACGCATACATCTCACTAAACGACCGTGGCTGCACGGTCCTATGGCCGTAAATCAAAACAAAGAGAATTCAGATCTGTCATGGCAGAACAATACAAGCCCGAGTACACCAGACCTCGTTATAATGTTTTAATGTGAAAAAATGTCAGGTCAAGGCCAAAGCATTGGTTCCCACGCATGCGCATTACCATCGAGATGGAAAGCATGATTTATTTATGTGAGAGTAAACATATCGACAGGGAAATGAACGACAGTGAATTTATGCTTTCTACACAATTAGATTCTGGCTTGTTAGCTGGTTTACAACTGTATTTACACTAGGAGGCAAAATAACCAGCCCAGCGATGTATTAGTAATTTGTCATGACGAGGGATGTTTGTAATAAGAGATAGGGTGATAAAGTAGGGTTATTACTTATTTTTGTTATTACACATAGTTGCAACATGTGCGAGATATTTCCATAACTAAGTGTGTATTAACATGTCAACAGCAATGAAAGGGGTAATGCAGCATTTTGAAGTTTTGTTTACTTAATAGGTAAATATTGTTGATAGCACCAGCTATAAAATGTGTTCTTAATGAAGGAAAACAACATTGTGTTTCAAGTGCATTATTAGCCTTTATCGTGAACAGTACTCCTATATTGCTTTTAAAGGTTTGAAGTGCTGATGTGTGTAGATTATATGTACTGAAAATATGGGTCTGTTTTGAGATCCATGAATTATATAAAATGCCATTTTCAACACCATTGCAACTTCAAACTGGCTGTCTGTTAATTACCGGTTATTTGATATTGCAGGTTGGGGGGCTTGGGTTTTATTGAAATAATATTTTATATATTATATGTTATGATATCCCCGCGTTTAGCAATTGAATGTGTGAGGGTTTAAACTTGGAAAAGGTACGTGAGTGAGTGAGTGAGTTAAGATTTAAAGTCACATCGGCAATATTTCAGCCATATCGTGACTAAAACTAGTTCTAAATTCATTATACATACCTATAATATATAAAAGGCTGTCAACGAAGGACAGTATAATTACCAGGTTATCACAAATGAGGTAAAACTAGCTAGCATATATCTGTAAAAGTAAAAAATTATATTTGGACAATACAATATAAAAATGGGTTATTGATCGCCAACAACTGAAGGTAGATCACCATACTAGGGCCCATGGGGACTTACATTACTTTTGCTACCTGCATGGACCCTAGCTGAATTTACACCATCCCTTCAGCCATTGGCGTTTATGCTGAGATTTAGCCATACATTAAAAAGGGAAAAGGTACGTATTAACCCCAGCATCAGATCCGTATCAGAACGGTATCTAAACGTGTTTAGATTATGTGAATATTGTGTTTAGGTTATGTTTCAGCTGCGAGAGTGTTGCTCATTTCATGTGTTTAGATAGAGCACACCGAATGTGTATTGTATGTCCGACAATCTATACACATTTTTACAGTTTATAAACAAGTAGACAGTTTTTGGGTTTATCTGAATTCTGTATCAGAAGTCAGAAGAACGTTTTGGCAAAAATAAATAACATGGTGGCTGATGGCTGAGTGACATAGATAAAGGGTTAAAATGGGATGTGTTCATAGAGCAGCAGAACTGCTTGTGAGTTTCTCTTCCGTTTCCTCTATTTGAAAATACACTCACACTGCATATTTCATTTCGATTTACACCACTTATTTTCATACACATATTTACCCGAATTTAGCATGAGCTCCACTCCATATTTCATTTGGATTTGCACCCCTTATTTTGAAACTCATATTTACTAGAATTCAGCATAAGCTCCACTCTATATTTCACATCGATTAACACTACTTATTTGTTTACTAATATTTACTAGAATTAAGCATAAGCTCCACTCCATGTTTCATTTCGATTTACCATTTTGATACTCATATTTATTGGAACTTAGCATAAGCTCCACTCCATATTTCATTTCGGTTTACCATTTTGATACTCATATTTATTAGAACTTAGCATAAGCTCCACCCCATATTTCATTTCGGTTTACCATTTTGATACTCATATTTATTGGAACTTAGCATAAGCTCCACCCCATATTTCATTTCGGTTTACCATTTTGATACTCATATTTATTAGAACTTAGCATAAGCTCCACCCCATATTTCATTTCGGTTTACCATTTTGATACTCATATTTATTGGAACTTAGCATAAGCTCCACCCCATATTTCATTTCGGTTTACCATTTTTTACTCATATTTATTGAACTTAGCATAAGCTCCACCCCATATTTCATTTCGGTTTACCATTTTGATACTCATATTTATTAGAACTTAGCATAAGCTCCACTCCATATTTCATTTCGGTTTACCATTTTGATACTCATATTTATTGGAACTTAGCATAAGCTCCACCCCATATTTCATTTCGGTTTACCATTTTGATACTCATATTTATTAGAACTTAGCATAAGCTCCACTCCATATTTCATTTCGGTTTACCATTTTGATACTCATATTTATTGGAACTTAGCATAAGCTCCACTCCATATTTCATTTCGGTTTACCATTTTGATACTCATATTTATTGGAACTTAGCATAAAAGCTCCACCCCATATTTCATTTCGGTTTACCATTTTGATACTCATATTTATTAGAACTTAGCATAAGCTCCACTCCATATTTCATTTCGGTTTACCATTTTGATACTCATATTTATTGGAACTTAGCATAAGCTCCACCCCATATTTCATTTCGGTTTACCATTTTGATACTCATATTTATTGGAACTTAGCATAAGCTCCACTCCATATTTCATTTCGGTTTACCATTTTGATACTCATATTTATTAGAACTTAGCATAAGCTCCACCCCATATTTCATTTCGGTTTACCATTTTGATACTCATATTTATTTGAACTTAGCATAAGCTCCACTCCATATTTCATTTCGGTTTACCATTTTGATACTCATATTTATTGGAACTTAGCATAAGCTCCACTCCATATTTCATTTCGGTTTACCATTTTGATACTCATATTTATTGGAACTTAGCATAAGCTCCACTCCATATTTCATTTCGGTTTACCATTTTGATACTCATATTTATTGGAACTTAGCATAAGCTCCACCCCATATTTCATTTCGGTTTACCATTTTGATACTCATATTTATTTGAACTTAGCATAAGCTCCACTCCATATTTCATTTCGGTTTACCATTTTGATACTCATATTTATTGGAACTTAGCATAAGCTCCACCCCTTGTTTCATTGATTAACACTAATAATACCCAACGCCATTCAGAAAGTGGACAAATGTGACATTTGTGGAAGCCATGGTGGTTGAGTAGGTTAGATGGCTGACTTTGTGTGCTGGCGACTAGGTGCTTGATTCTGAGAAAGTGGGTTCTAATGACGGATAGGATTCAACCTATTAAAAGTACTAGGTCAGGCTCGCTGGCTTGGTTGACACATGTCATCGGTTCCCAACTGCGCAGATCGATGCTCATGCTGTTGATCACTGGATTGTCTTGTCCAAACTCGATTATTTACAGACCGCCGCCATATAGCTGGAATATTGCTGAGTGCGGCGTAAAACTAAACTCACTCACTCACTCACTCACTCACTCACTAGAATCTGTACTTTACTTAGAAAGCGTAATCCCAAATTATCATATGTTACGATAAACACCACTATTTTTATACTCCTGTTTACTCGAAGTTCATTTGCACAATTTATATTTATAGTCAGGATAACTCGAAGTTTTAACTCACTCTCGCCCCAACAGTTTGAATACTGACAAAAACCACTACATAATCCATATCGGTGCTGATTCTCCAATCGTCATCCTTTGTTCATCTCGAAGATAATGCAAATCGCCATATAATTGTTTTGTCAAATAATACTTCCTTCGTGCACTTTTAAACTGAATCCACAAGAGGCGTCTCACCTGTCAATCTGTAAACACACCTCCACCGCCGATGCATGATTGACTGTCCGCATCAGTCAATACTACCACACTCAATATGCACGAAGCAGTGCTTGACAATAGAAATACAATAAGCCTACTTGCGCTCAACAGCATCCTCCCAAGCATGAGATGGTATTATAACATGCACTTTAAAGTAATCTCCATTGTTTAAAATTGCTACTTCCAAGCAGGTCCTTCAATCATTCTTAGCTTGATTGTTCTTTTTATCTTGAATGATACTGGCTCGTTGCATCTTTAGTACAACACATTACTTGATTGCGTGATTGGAGGGCAAAGGCATTTTTTACGAACGTAATCTTCGCAAAAATCATGTTTTACGAATAAAAATTCGCAAAAATCATGTTTTACTGTCTGGTAGTCAGATTATCTACATTAAATAAGATAAACGAGTGAGTGAATGAGTGAGTGGATGGTTAAAAACACAAACACATCGTCGGTATTTCAGCAAGGTCGTGACTAAAACATTTATCATGTTAAAAAATATGTACATTAACTGTGTTATCAAAAACTTTATGTAAAGTGAGTATTATCTTTCGCCGCTTTTAGCAAAACATCTACCATTATCAAAGCGTTGTACCAATGTGGAATCGAACCCGGGTCATCGGCGCGACAAGTGGACGCTTTAACCACTGCCCCATTTTGCTTAAAACAAGTGCTAGGATGATTAAAAGATGAACTATACTCAGCAGCAAAAAATAACGTCAGTACGAATTCAAAATTAGATAGGCACCGTAATCAAATCATTACAGAAATGGACATAATAAGCGGATCAAAAACATTTTTTGTGTACAATAATTTGACACATCAATGAATAACACAGCGCAATTTCAAGACATTACGTGAACGTTTGCAGTCCATTCAGACTCTTGACTTCAGTATCTAGTGTGACCACCACGAGCGGCAATAACTGGAGCACAGCGTCTATACATGGAGTGCACCAGTCGATTGGTGAAGGTCATTGGCACCTGGAACCACACTCTGAGAAAGGCCTGGCGCAATAAATCGTATGTGTTCGGCCTTGGTATGGCATTATCCAGTCTCCTCTGAATTTCATCCCAAAGATGTTCGACTAAGGGTTGACACCGTTCTGCTGTAGGAAGTCCCGTGTAGCTCTGGGCCCGGGGTGTTATCATGCTGCAAAATGTTGTTCCGGTGACGTGCGAAATGTGGTATGACGTGGGGTCTGGGAGCTTGGTCGATGTAGCGCACCGCTGTGATGCCGCCTCCTCTCCCTGGACCAAGGTTCTGGAACACCACAGGACCCAATCTCTGGTTCAGGCCTATTCCACCCCATACCATGATGCTTGCACCTCCCCATGAGTCTCTCACCATAACACATTGGTCTGAGTAACGCTGGCCACGTCGTCGCCATATTCTTGTTCTGCCATCCGCAGTTGATACGCAGTACCGACTCTCATCTGTGAACAGAACAGTTCTCCATTGCCTGTATCGCCAGTTTTGGTGTTGTTGGGCAAACTGTAGACGTTCACTCCGATGACGAGGGGTGAGGATAGGTCCACGGTAAGGTCTACGGCAATGGAGGTTCCCACTGTTAAGACGTCGGCGTACAGTATCAGTACTGATTGGTCTTCCGTGTGTTCCCACTGTTTCGGATGCCTACATGAAGGGATTCTGTACATGCTGTCGCACAACATGGCGGTCTTGTCTTCTTGTGGTCACCCTTGGTCTGCCAGTACGGGGGCGATCATTTGTGGTGTTGGTGGCCCGGAAACGTTGCTGCAGCCTGTAGATGATCCGAACGTTGACCTGGAAGTGATTGGCAGCGTCTTGTGCAGTGTGGCCAGCTTCAAGTCTTTCTAGCGCCTGGTTCCTCTCAGCTGTCGTGAGTTGCGGCATCCTGCTGACGTTGTAATGTGAATGTTTCAACCAGGTTTGGGGGTGCATTTTATAGGGCTGGTCCTTGTAAACAGCACGTGCAGCATGAGTTGCATGAAAAAACATGGAGAACACCGTACCATCTCCGAGATCAGGTTGCGTTTTTGAGACCATTTCCTGGGTTCCATTCTGAGTTTGGGAATGAATGTCTTTGCTCAGGTAAAGTTGGAGATGTTGTCAAAAATATACTATCAAAACATTAAATGAGTTAACAGTTATCCGTTTCTGCGAAGGAAACTTCCAAACTGACGTTTCTTTTGCTGCTTAGTATATTATAAAGTCACAACTGATCCACATAATATAAATGTCAAGGACATACAAATCATATTAATGTAATTTTTTAAAAAAGAACATGAACTAACACATTGCAATAACACAACCGCTACAACTGCAACACAAACTGACACAAACTGATAAACGATAAATCCAGTTGTTAAACCAAGGTGACAGCCCCAAGGGATTGTTACCATATTCATAAGGCCGGGTCATGTTGGTGTAACAGGTGACTACCGCGTTCACTTTCACACGCAATGTATTGCGTCGTGTATCGGATCTATCTATAGTCCCTATCTTGTATTAACACGCGTGCTGGTCACCACATGGCGCATCCCATACAGACACATAAAAGAAATCGTTAGTCCGTTAAGTCTGACAAATCTCTTTAATCTACACTTTGCGAGACACGATACATGTTATCCAATAGAGGTAATTGGGTCTTTTCTTTGTCAAGGCTGACAGATGCGGTAATTCGGTGGGGGAGGTTCGATGTTAGGTGTAACATGCTGTTTTGTTGTACTCTGGCTAGAAAGAGTTTCTTCGTGGACAAGCACCCTCTTTGTCTAAACGTAATTATTGCTCTGTGTCCTACATCACGCCGAAGATCTGGCTTCGATTCTCATATGGGTACGATGTGTGAGGCCCATTTGTGGTGTCCCACGCCGTGATAATGCTGGAACATCGCATAATTCGGCGTAAAACTTCACTCACTCACTCACTCACTCACTCACTCACTCACTCACTCACTCACTCACTCACTCACTCACTCACTCACTCACTCACTCACTCACTCACTCACTCACTCACCCACCCACTCACTCACTCACCCACCAACTCACTCACTCACTGTGTCCTACACGTATGTGACGTGACCTACATGCCAGTTATAGACAGCTTCTGACTGCATCAAGTTATACAGTGATCGAGGTCATTTTACCTACTACGCCTCTCCCAGCTTATGGATTAACCTTCCCCAAAGCAAAAGACATGTCAAGCATGGACGCATTCAAATCCAAATCCACACTTTCCTCCAACTGTTTCAATCAAGTGCTCTACGTTTTACACTTGTGAAGAACAGGGTTAGAGTTGGTCTTCAGCAACCCAAGCTTGTCGTAAGAGGCGACTGACGGGATCGGGTGGTCAGGCTTGCTGACGTGATTGTTTCGTATCATACGTAGATCGATGCTCATATTGTGATCAGTCACAGGATTGTATGGTCCATTTACAGACTGTCACACAACTGAAATGTTGAGGAGTGGTGCGTTACACAAAAGGGACACACCATTGTATGTATTTGTGCATTATTGTCAACCTTCTTCTTCCTCTTGTTATTACTAGTACTACTAGCACAATTTTCATCTTCTCCAAATGTCATCCACATTAAGAAAAGTCATGGAAAACGCGATATTTTCAATGTACCTTTAAAATCGACGTTGTCTGTTTTATCTGCCATGGCAAGATTCCATGTTGATGCTAATAGTGTGAATCTCGTCTTGTGGAATTTCAATTAAATTGAAGATGAAACACTATACCAGAAGATAAACGATTCTTTACATTAGGTAGTCGCCCTGACCGACGTGATAAAAACGGTTCTGTAATTCGTTGGTGAAGTTTATGTTAACAATATTATAAGCCACACACATCTCCACACTTTACAAAATAAACAATGTTTTTGTTCCAATGAAGTAGAATAGGTGTTCCGTAGAAACTCGATTATCTGCCGAAACAGACACAATTGTGGATAAAACACAAAATTGTAATGAAGATTATATGAAAGTGTTGACTCCAGATGTCAAAAGGGCAAACATCTACTCTTATCTCGATGGGACCGCCACACACAAAAACGCACTTGCTCAAACAAAAGTGTAAACGAAGCAGACCATCCCGTGATCAGTATTCTACGCCAACGTCGGCGGGGAGAAACACCAACGATTGGATGGATGGATGGTTGTTTAACGAGCATCTCTACTGCAATATTTTAGCTATAAGGCGGCGGTCTGTAAGTAATCGAGTCTGGACCAGTGAGTGAGTTAAAATGTATCGTCACATCGGTAATATTTCAGCCATATCGTGACGAGAACAATTAATTTTATACATAGGAATTAATGGTAAATTGTAAAAACCTGTCAACGAAGGACAGTAAAATAACTAGATTATCACAGATTCGAATTTAAAACTAGTAATTAGATCTTCAACAGTTTAACTATAGATGACAATACAATATAAAAACAGGCTATATATTGCTATAACTGAAGGTAGATCACCATACTAGGGACCATGGGGACTTACAGTACATTTGCTTTCTGCATGGGCCCTAGCTGGATTTACACCATCCCTTCAGCCGTTAGCAATTTAGGAAATCTAGCCATACATAAAAAAGACACGTATTCTACGATTAAAAACGTGGAAAGTTTTAATTTACTTTGAATGTTTTAGGACTTACGTATCCTCTCAGGAGGACAATAATTTAACCCCCTTTGAGGATACAGCCACTCCCAATCGAAGTTACTAATATAAACTTCCAAACATAAACTATTTATCTATTTACAAATCATTCAACAAATCTAAATCTTTTAAAAATGCAGTAATTAAATGAGATCTTATATTATTTAAAAAATCATTCATAGTTCGTGATTTGAAATAGTTATCCCTTGTGATGGAATATTCAATGCAGTCAAGGTCTGGACCAGACAATTATTAGCATGAGCATCGATCTACGCACTGGGTCTACGATGACGTGCCCACCAAAAGTGGTCTATCCGATCAATTCGGATACGTTTCACTGAAGAAGGTTTCTCTCCATCCGAAGCTGTTGGTATATTCCTCGACAAGAAGGACCAACCCGCGATGGTAAATCAGAAATGATCTCCCGCCATACCCTTTGGTGCAGCTATTGGCATCTGTTTGACTTTTCATGCATACACCTGGATAGGACACTGGATTTACTTTCTCAGTTGTGTTCATTTCCATCTCAGGGTGGTACATGAGCTGAAGAGACTCTTGCATAGCTGAAAGACATCAGGGCCTCCTTTCACAAAGCACTAAGGTGATTGTAAGTCTCTAAGATGTTAGTGCATGTTAGT